CAATTGATGTCGCTTAACAGCCTCAGCACTTGGTACAGAGTGAAGTTATGCCACTCCAGATCGAGCCCATTACTCCGAACGAACATTTTAATAAAGCTGACTTGTACATCGGCTGGCCACCGCAAGTCATTGTATAGGCCACATCGCATTCAATAAGCCACTACGATTCTGAATGGAAGTAGAATGCGTGCCGCATCCCACAAAGGGATTGATCAACGGCGAAGACTTTATCCTTTTATTATCCTTTACGTGTTTTCCGTACTTCCTGTAGGAATGCTAAAACCTTGCAAGTCTCTTACCGGCATTATGGGAGTGAAAGTTATAGTGTACACAATATCCTCTAAAGCCGTGAGTAAGAAGAAATACTTATAGGAATGTATTCTCTTTGATGGGCATCGACAATGTACTACTAGAAAAAATGCATTACATAACAGCGACACCGTAGATATGGTGTAGACTGGAAGTGGCAGGGGATCATTTGGTATCGCAGACATCTTGAACGACTACCTCATGAATGCACAAGTCCTAGATTGTCATAGATCTCCGACAATACCACAGGACTGATATGATAACCATTTAGCATGAAAATAGAACACGTGGCTCGTTTGCGATGACCGAAGTTGATGTCAGTTTGTCCAAAGGAATAATTTGATCACTATTATTGTAAAATTATTCAAGCGTTATCGTCTGCATGTATGTTTATGAGTGTTCATCCAAATATCCTTCATACATCCTCAGTGATTCGAAAGAAAGACGAACGCTGTACGAAAAGACACAAGACGAACGCTAATGACATAGAGTGATGTCATGTGCCGCTGAGAGCGAACTTCAGGACTGTCAGTTGGAATGATCTGCTGGTGGAAATCACTCTATTATTCTATGAATCACTAAATTATGGTTAGTGTGTCGGTATGTATTAGGTAAGACGGAAGCCCCGCTACACTTTGACTAAATTTTCGGACCGAATTTTCTTTCACTAAAAAACCTTTCCAATCTATAAGGTAATCAAATTAATGACCAGGACCAGCGCATACCTTTTTGCACAGCTTCTCATTTCCATTTTTGTACAATCGCGGCAACTATGATAAAAAGAAGAGGTGGGACCTTATTTTCGAGTAGACATCGATTTTCGGAATTGTGCCTTCTAAAGGATGTGGCACTGCTCAAAGGAGGTGGTAATCAGAGGCCGCTAGTCCTGATAAATAAGCTGGGTGCGGTCGCATCCTCTTACAGAGTTCCATGATCTTTTTGCATAGCCTGATCCCCACATGCGCTTTTCGCATTGAGTAGTAGAGGAAAATTGAGTATTTCTGAATGAACTCAAGCGTGACGTCATCCATTTTCCGAAGTTGATTAGAGTGGATTGTTGTCCTTACAGCTGTGCTAGTATCCAGCCATACCGCTTTGAAGTCCCACCAATAACACATTGAAAGCTTTGCCATGCACGTTGTTTCTTTTGTACATCTACATAACTTTCTGTTTGAGAGATCCTGCGAGGGACATGTGCATGATGTACGCAAGGACTCCACCACTCTCTACCAACCACAAGATCTCACAAATGTTCCTCCAGTGTGTACAAGGAAAAAAACTCAGTCACGGTCATTCGGTATGACTTGTCAGACGGGTCCAACTCATGAGGCATCCTTCACAAAAAATTTTCCCGATAACCGAGATTGCGGAGAAGCATGGCAGTTGTCAGTTAGGTGGAGCCTAGAGAGGTTGCCAACTTACTGGTGGTTTTCGGCTGCGCCTCAAGAAGCTTGAGTAAAGGGCCGTCATTCTGTGCTGGTGGCCGACCTATACATTGCCTACTCCGAGTTAAATAAGTCCAGCTTGGAAGCGCTGATGCAAAAGCTACCCTCTGCCATGGCAAGCGATATCCTTCCTCAAGACAACGTAGTGTTAGCTTCCTCGACTACGGCGGAGTGGCCCTACAGGAACTCATAATATGGGATAGGTCGAAAAGTACCTCGATCTCTGAGGGACTTTTAAGCTTTGAAAACTTCCACAAAGTCATGATATACCCATGTGCAGAAACCCCAGAGGACAGTCTCCACTAATCAGGATGAAAACATTCAAAATGTTTTTAGTCTTTTTCTAGGACAGTTCAATCAAATTGTCGCAGGACTTTCCGTCCAACCTAGCATGTCGGTACGTCTGTGCGTATGTCTGGACGTCCACTGAATGACTCGTGACTGCGGTAGAGAGAGTGATAGCAGAAATGAAATGGTAGCCAAAGTAAAAACCTGTCGGTGTTGCGGTATCAACCTAAGATGAAATTTAACCATGATAGCACCCTCCTCGACTTGAGAAAAAACTCCTGCGGTGAATTCGCAGTCACTACCACATGGGCAGGACGCGGCCAAGCACAAGCGGAGTTTGACATGATGCCAAGATTCCAGTGGCTAACCTGAACACTTGCTCAAGTTTCCGTGTGACTTGTGCAGGCATTTTTTGAGCTAACCCAGGGTAAATAATGGTTCAGAGTAGTTTCGGCAGTACTCGTAGGACGTGATGTCTTATAACCAAGCTCAATTCACTGAGGACCCTCGTGTAGTGTACACTGTGATGCACAGCGTGCGCTAACCAAACTGGTTCGAAACATGGAAAGGTCAAAAGCTTTACCAGGATGCTAAGCGCAACCTGGTAGACATCACCGACTGAGACGACCACTTATGGTGGAGCCAGTTGCGCTCTGTTGAGACGCTTTGAGCGCACACTTTGCTGCATAAACGGCACACGTCGCCTGCTCATGCCAGGCTTGTTATATCTATGAACATAATTACCCCGTAGCAAAACTATCTCATGACTTGCTGCCTTTAACTTAATTGGTTGTTCAAAGAAAAGATCAGATAGAAAATGGTCCCTAGTATCGATGGCAACATGAAAAATGGAAATTTTTGGGTTTTTTTCTGTGATATTGCTTCGCGCTGATAAGGTCTAGTGAGTGGCCGTGATGATGCTGCCGTTGCTGTTGGTCGCCACACTCTCTTCTACGGTTTCTGCTGATTGTCCGCTTGGATCAATTTCACATCCGGAATTTGGAAGGTTCGATATGCAGTAGATACACATAGTTTTTGGTCTAACTCCCACAACAATTGTCGATTAAAAGTTCTCAACAATTAAGACAAAATAGGCGTATCTCTCAGGGAGTATGTCAGTCAACAGCGGCCTAAAACTTTCGATTTTGCTGTCACAAAAAGCGTATGCCTCTATAATGTAAGCATGTATTCGATAAATTTGACCCTTAGTCTCAATTTTGACTTCACCATTGGACAGTAAATTTATTTATGCCCGCCCTTAAAAACCGTGTATCACAAATTTATTCACATACGTATCGATCAAAATTTGTCGAATAATATGATAATTATAATAATAATAATGAATTAATAACTGTCGAAGTCAATTTGATAAACTCAAAAAAGAAAGTAGTCCTCTCTTTCGGCGGTACAGTACTTATTGAACTCTCATCAAATAACTCTCTTATTCAGAATTGATAGTCTGAAAAGTCCACGAATTCAGCCGCTATTTGCGCCTTGAAAAAATTGATTATTTTACGCTAGTTCGGGGAGTGGGGATAGTTAATCACAGATGAGTCGCGCAAAAGAAATAAGTTGAGAGTATACTGCACATTTAGAGGAACGAAGAGCCCCAGTTCCTATGTTGTGGAATGAGTCTCACCAGTTAGCAGACATTGCGCTGTTAATGGCTATGCAATAATTCTATGTAGGTCCCACCCCTTACAGGGAAGGGGACCAAGTACGGTAGCCATGCTTGAACGACCCAACCACCATATTCCGTTGCACTTTTGTTTCATTGCTGCAGCTAGAGTAGGAGAGTGCGTGAAACAGGAAAAATCAATAGTGGGATATTTTTCTCAGACTGAGTACGACCCCCCCCCCCGCTGACCATCCCCAACGTACCAAAGTGCCCTGTATAACGATTTACTGGCCTGCGAGGTTTGATGGTCTTGGTTGAGGTTGACGGGAGACGATCCAGATCTGAGCTGGGAACCGCACGCGTGGCAAGCAGAACCACTTGACAGTGCGCCAACTCTGCTCTCTCAAATTCTTCAGTAAAAGAAACTGTGGGAGGAAAAAACTCTTCTTGATTGGTTAAAAATATTTTTCAGATGCTATAAGTTTGTGAACGATCGTCAACCGTTCTACTTAGCTGAAGAGTCATGCCAGGCGATCGGTGGCCATCTGGTTTCCGTGGAGAACGGCTTCGAGAACGCAATGTTGGCTGGTTCGTTAGTTTTCTATAGCAGAACATTTTCGATGTCTGCTACTAATTTTCTAATATTTTTTCAAGAAACGGCCTCGTCACAAAACATCCGTGGCCCGTTCTATATTGGATACAATCGCATGCTGACTAATAACTGGTCGTGGATTGATGGCTACAACGCCACTTCGTTCACAAACTGGGGAGCAGGTAGGTCATTATAATACGCTGCTTCTCTACACATAGGCACGTAGACAATGGGAGAAAACATCACGTCATACTTGTAAATTTTGCAGTTTAGCGTTTAAAGGCCAAAAGTAAAGTAAGAACGAACCCCTTGCTTTTTATCAGTCCTTTTTTTGAGATGCGACACACATCCTAGTTCCATGAAGGCTTATTGAATGGGATGTGACCTATATACTGCCTTGCGCGGATGACCAATTTACAAGCCCGTATTCTCACCTGCCCAGACAAATCTAGCAGCGCTTCACCGGCACCGGAGTGTAGAAGGCTTGGTTGGCCAGGACGGGAGCGATCTGGGGAATAACTCCCACGGTGACGGTAAGCGGGCACTTACCACA